CCACCCCCTCCCCCCCGCCTGAAAAATGAGCAAAAATCTCATTCCTGTAAAATGGCATATTATGTGCCTGGAATCAAGATAAAGAGTTTAGTTTCTTATGTTGAATATCATCAAAGAGAATCAAATGAATAATGTGCCATTTTTCTTTATAGATGGCAAGGATTTAATTACCGTTACAAGCCATTGGATACCGTTGAAATTGAACGGAAGCGTCATGACAAGGTATCTAGTTCAATGGATAAGAAAGTATATCTTCTGGGTATTGCATGTCTTATATTCTTGGTATAATTCTGTTCCTTGATGTTATCATTCCAGGAAAGAACATTGGAAGAGCAGAAGAAATTGGTGGAGAAGATTCTGAAACATGACAAAAAACGTCGATTAAGGATTGAGGCTGCTGGCATCGATTATGAATGCCCTGAGATTGTGAGTCTTTTGCCTCTACCAATCTGTGGTTTCACATTTGTTTTCATAAAAATAAAATAGCCTGCATCTTGGGTTTTCGTCTCATGTTACATATGATTGCTGTTGCAGGTGGGTAACATCCAGCCTGCTCCAAAGAAAATAAAGTTTGAAGACTAAGTGGGTAAGTAACCTATCTTATTTCATCTTTTAAAGAGATACACATCTCAGTATTTATTGTGCTCGTGCCATTTTTTGTGCATTTCTTGATGTCCAAGGATTTAATTTTGCTATTGTACTTATACCATGGAATATGGAAATAGATGATTGTTGCTGTATATCCTGAGAGGTAATAGAGCACTTAATTTAAGAGGTGGTTTTGACACCCTTTCTTTCTTCTCAGAGATGCGTTAAGAGGTTGGTTGCTGATCTACTACCAAGTCACAAGGGTGCATAAGAGTATGCTTTTTTAGGTTTTTTTATCAGTAGCAAATAGCAATAGCAGTTAACTATTGTCAGCCTTGGCAATTTTGGGACCTCGGAAATTTTGTATTCTCAAATATCTTTATAGAAGCATTATCCATTTCATATACTCGTCAGCTTTTAAAGCAGTTGATTGCCTTCACTTTAACAAACTTTTTTCCTTTCAAAAATTAAATCCTCTATTCTTCCTTGGATTGCAGATTGTTAAGGGCTTGTATCGCAAAATTTGTCACTTTGTTTTCAAATTTTTTTTCCCTGTTTTCAAAGATTGATACAAGAAATGAGGAAATAAATAGATTGTTTTCAATGTTACCTGTACAAATCTCTGAAAACATGAAACAAGAAATTGAAAATCAGGTGGTAGTTTTGCATTTGAAAAGTGAAAGCAGAAAATAAAAATACTAGTAAACAGGGTCCTAAGATGTGCAATATTTCTAGTTTGTTGGTATTGGATCCCGAGCATCGACAGTTCATGCGAGTGTGACAATCCGAGCATCAATAGTTCATGTGAGTGTGATAATATTGAGCTCATTTTAGCACTTATAGTGTATGGTGTTTGAATAAACCTTGAAATTATATTGTGAATGAACCTTGCTTTTGCAGTCGTATTTGAATTGCCATTATCTTAAGAAACATAATTCCACTTATATATGTTTCTACGCGTGTTTTATGTAATTAAATTAATTTAAAAATGCCTAAATAACCTATATTAAATGAATGACTTAAATAAAGTAAATTTTTCAACGAGCAAAAAATAAAAAATTGCGCTAAAATATATAAACGCATAAAATAAATTAAAGAGTTATTCAATCAATAGATGTTTTTCTCTTCAACGATTACCTCTATAAAATCTACACCCTTCAATTATTCAGGGGAGTTAAACATGGAGCAATATCTGTAAAATTCATTCGAATATTTAGAGATAATCCGAGTTGATACTCTCTCTTATGTGCTTGCAGTACACGATAGTAATATTCACTTACGATTTTTTTATTCATATTTTATTTTTGGAATTATGTAATATATATATATATATA